ACTCGAGCTGAAAGGTTTCGGGACCCTAGATTAGAGCACGTGGGGGACGTTGCGTTAACTTCATTAGATAGAGAGGTGTCTCCAACTTTACGTTACGTTACGTTACGCCTATCATTGTGCCTCTAACCATTCGGTGATCGCTACCAGTTTTCATCCTCGCGATCATTGAGACATCACTTCACAATTGCCATCTACTCGTCATAATGAAGTCGATCGCAGTTTTTGTCGAATCGTCGGGGCTTGACCAGGTCCACTTCCTGTGGGGCCGCTTCTGGAAGGAAGAGTTCATCATAAAGAGTCGCTCTTTCTCCATGAAGTCGGCCAGCTGCTGTCCCCTTGGGTTCCGTTGCCTAATTCCAAATTTCACTACGCTCAGCTCGCCGTTCTCTCTTGTACCTAGTTTTGGATTGAAGTCTCCCATTAACATCGTATAGTGCGTTTTAGAGGAATGTATGGCTTTATAGATATCCTTATTCATTTCTTCCACCTCCTCATCGGTGTGTGCCGAGGTTGGTGCGTAAACCTGTATGACCTTCAACGAATACCGTTTGGTGATTCGGAGTATAAGTAAAACTAATTAATATAACCCTCGTTGACACACTCACAATCTTTACTACGTTGTTAACGAGAGACTTGTGGACGATAAATCCGACACCTCCTTGGGACAGATGGTCGCCCTCCCGGCGATAGGACGAATTGCCGAATTCGAAGATTACTGTGTCCTCGCTCTCTCTTCGGACCTCAGATAATCCTGTAATATCCCAACACAACTTGTCTATCTCTTCTTCCAGCTCCAGGATCTTCTCGTCGCTAGGTCGAGTCATCTTAGGTGGCAACCGAGCGTCCATCAACTCATTATTTTGTGGTAGCTTAGTACTAGAACGTTCTGTAAAGTGTTATATTACTCTTTTTACCTGATTTTAAATCCAAAATAATATAAATGTGACGAAGTTATGTCTTAACAGATATATTATTAATTAAATTATTCTATTTCCATAAGATCATTGTTTTCAAAGGTCATCTTGCTGCAATCGTTCAGATGCAACATTTATCACTTCAAAAAATGCATTCCCAGCAAAAATGATTATGAAATCTCATAGTACGGTGTGCGTCACCAAAACTGGAAATATGTTTGAAACACAAGTCGATGTCGTCACATATAACGTGGATAATGACTGTGAAACAGGACATACAAATAAAGAGGGAACCGCTACCGCTATGCTAGAAGATACTAAATTAATCAACGCAAAACCTGTCTCAGAAGAACCAATAAAATTAAAGGATTTGAATGTTTCCTGTGATTGCTTAGAAGACTTGAAAGTCGATGCTTTACTTAAGAAAGAAGATTTTAAAACAAAAACCCAAGTACTAACTAATAACGGTTCCTACCAATTAGGCGCTGAGAGAACTATATCCCCTTTAAAGGTAATTTCATACTCAGCTTAAATTATCGAGGCTATATAACGCCTATTATTAACTACTTTTATAAGTTTGAATCTTCTTTTACAAGGTTGCTGCAAATTAATTCTATCGTCGGTATTTCAAAATTTTGATTTTGATACACTCTAATCACTTTTATTCAATGTGAATTATCGCGTTATAAGATACTCTTTATTGTTTTGCTTAGTGTGTGATGTGTGAATCCATCACCATATTTTTTTCCGTACGGAAAGAAATATGGTTATGGCGGAGAAATACGGTGTGGCGGCTATTGGAAATAATAAGAATAATCTTATCTTCTGACAAATTAAACTATACCATCTCATTTACGCGAGACGTAAAACACCCGGATCAGCAACGGACAACACCTGTAAAAGTGCGGGACCACTGGAACTACGATTATGACATTCTGCGCAGATAAAAAAGAAATATTGGTCTAATAATAATTGCAAGGTTTCATTGTCTTCAAACAATGCAAGATGTCGTTATTAATTCGAATGCGTCAGTAGCCTAATGGCAGGGTGCGGACCGCGAACTCGAAAGGTCGTGGGTTCGAATCCGCCATTCGACTACTGTCGTGAGCCACTTCTAACACAAGCATTTTAAGCTTACCAGAAGTGATTACGGGAATAATAGTTTAAATAGCATTACTAGTATTTTTTTATAAAAAAAAAAAAAATTTTTACTGCCTTACGCAATAGGAGTATTTTTTAAGGCACATGTTGCGAAAGAAACTAAATTTGTTGAAGCAAATATTACAACCGATGCCTCCAATAAGGACCAACATGAAATAACAAGAAAACGGCAAACCGCCTGCTGCCAGTGTTCACTGCACAATATAGATACAAAAGACGCTCGTGGCCGACATTACGAAACAGAACAGGAAATATCTAAAGAGGTAGGTATCATGGTAGGAATAATGTATTACTCGCATGTGGTATTCGATTTCTTTAGAAGAATTATCACATATTACTTCTATTGTTACAAAACTGCAGAGTTTTAGCACTTTAAAAGTGAAGGGAAGAAATTATCAAGTGACACAAATAATTCAGTTGTGTTTATTTAAATATTTAAACACTCCTAGCTGTTAACCGCGATTTCGGCCGATTGAAGTTTTGGGACATGGTAAGGCTGGTGTTGATGAAATGTAAGGAAAATGAAAATATTATTATGTTAGGAGATTTTAATGGAAGGGTTGGGGTGAAGAGGTCTGGTTATGAAAGTATATTAGGAACGTTTGGCGATGAAAGAATAAATGAGAATGGTGAAGACCTCCTCACCGTATGTGTGGAAAAGAATCTTTTTGTGGCGAACACTTTCTTTCGCCATAAGAGGATTCACATGTATACATGGGAAAGAGGGGATGATAGAAGCATGATATATTTTATAATTGTGGATGAAAGAATGAGGAGAGCAGTGGTAGATACAAGGGTTTACCGGGGGTCCAACGTAGGGACGGATCATTACTTGGTCTTATGCCGAATTGTTTCATGGTTCCTGCTCTGCAAATAAAAAAAAGGTCGGCTGTCTCGATCTAGTGATCGTAAACGCGATTGATGATCTTTAGATCACGGGTTTGAATCCTGGAGCGGGCCGAAATCAGTTATTAGGTTTTACTGTTAGACTTAACGGCCGATGCAACTATTTTTATACGTGGTAGAGCCATGCTGCAGCTATATTGGTAGTATAGTTGTAGCACGAATGGGTCGGCTCGACTGGGGAAGGACCACGCTCTCACAGAATACCAGCGTAAAATAGCAGCTTAATGCTGCTGTGTTTCGTATGGTGAGTGTAGAGAACCGGAGACCCTTTTTACTGGCAAAGAGGCATTCCATCTTAGTCCTCACGGGTGACAACGCATCTGCATCTTGAGTCTTTATTGAGGATAGATGTAGATGTCTATGGGTCGCAGTAACCACTTACCATCAGGTGGACTATATACATAACATATAATATTACTTCGTAACAATACATAATACAATATTATTTCTATTAAGGTGACATGCATTCAAGAAAATTATAAGGCACCATGCAGTCCAACACGAACAACACAAGCGCAACAATTTCATCAAAGACAGCCACTTTGCGTGCCATCCAAAAATAAGACGGCGTTAAAAAATACAAATAATGAGGCCCCGGCGATAATAAAGGACTTAAATGTTCATAGTGTTCAAACATCTGATCATTCTATAGTCATTGTAAGTATTATTTTTATTTTAACACTATACACACACACACACACATACACACACACACACACACACACACACACACACACACACACACACACACACACACACACACACACACTTTTACCATTTCTAATATATAATCGCGACAGCATCGGAACACTTTTGTGTGCTCTGACTGGCGTATATCCGGGTCGAAACTTATGCGATACTGCCTTTTTGATATAGTAGTCGTAAATACGGTTGCTGATCATGAATTCGAAACCCGAGTCATACCAAAAGAAAACCAGTTATTGTGTTTTTCTATGAAGAAGAAAGTGTTTCACCCGCTTGCCTCAAAAAGCGCATAAGTCGTTGGTCTTGCGCCTGATCTCTCTTTGATTGTCATCACATCGGACTATGAGAGTGAGGGAATAGAGAGTGCACCTGTGCTTGCGCATACACTTGGGCACTATAATTCTATTCTGCGCAGATAACTCGGAAGAGGGCATTATACGATAAGACCACTTGAATGGCAAAACATGAATAATCACAACCATAATACACCGAGGCCAAGTGGATGACAGTTATTAATCCTATACGTATACTCGCGCCAAGATTCAGACTAAACTATTATTGGCAAAGCAGTCGGATAACGATTATCATTTTATTTGAAAACCAGCGAACCGCCCAGGCTTCGCCTGGATAGGATATTCATATGTGACGTTATTTAAATTTAAATTACGCATCATTTATTATATATATTTTTTTGTTTTCTCTAAAAATAATCTTCAAGTTTATCGGATTAAATATAGCCTAGATCCCTCCTGGCGTTGATCTCTATCTATTCGTTCTGAAGTTCCGGACAAATAGACTGTATGTTGTTTATATATTAGACAGACTAAAATTTTAAAAATATTTTTGTCTTAATAATAATAAAGCAAATCATAACCCCCTGAGCTTAATAGAATCTAGTTATTTCAATATTACAGACAGACACGTCATTTTTATTACTGTACTGTACTTAAAATTAGTACTGCGAAAGTATACTCCGCCAACACGCATTGCGACAGCGCGGCGTACTCATTCCCGCTCTAATAACTTTTTTTATGTTGCAGGAACAAGACGACATGTCTGGATTCCCCTTGTTTATGAAAATATTCTGTGGAAACAGATTATGCCAAGAATCGACATAATAATTTTTAAGATATTATTCAAAAGTTTCGATTAAAATTTTAATTACATTGTGTCACTGTTTAATGGGTTGTCTAATGGTTAAGCACTTTAAAAAAATAAAAAATAAAAAAACGACATTAAAGTTATAGTTTAATTATAAAATAATCTATAATGACTATTTACACATTAATAATACCTGTCTCTCATATTAAACATTTAATTTGGAGTGCCATAAGAAGTAGCTGGTTGCGTATCGGGTAGGAAATTTAAGTTTCCAGAATTTGAACTGGATTGACTCTCTGTAGAAATTGATGGTAAGCTATAACTTCCCGATGAGGATAAGCTCGATGAAGTGGATGAAAATGATGAACCCTGCGATTGGCTTGGCAGATGCGTGTTTTCCACAAAGGAAGATATTTCTACACTTGGTTTAGCATTTTCCAAAGTTACGCCGGACACCAAGGACAGGTATCCCGCTTCTCTTGCAGATGTGTGCTCGTTTTCTTTTATAATGTTTTGCACTCGGTTGACGACTGTCGAATCAAGGGCTTCTCTATGCGTTTGAATCTGCGCCGCTGTGTTATAATAGTTTAAATCAGCCTGGTAACTTGATAAAGATGGTGTAGAAATACCGCTGGGCGACTTGGATTGAAGAGGAAACTGAGATATAAATGAAATGGACTGAGTTTGCGGTAGCTGCGAGGTATAACCCTGACCAGGAGTGTAATGTTGTTGTTGATAATATTTTATTGGAGATGGCTGTTGAGTGGTTACAAAAGCAGGAAGGGGACGTATAGGTGTAACTGGAAGTTGTACTTGAGGTTGAACGTAGGATATACTAGGTTGTTGATAAATTTGTTGAGGTCGAAGATAGTTTACCGAAATCGGTTGTGGAGCTGGCTGCGGTATGGAATAGTAAGATATTTGTGGCTGTGCTGCCGTTTGATAATTAGTGATAAGAGGTTGAGATGCCGGTTGGGGATAACTATATCCTGATGGAACGGAATGAGGTTGCGATACGGGTTGAGAATGGAACGCTTGTGTTGGTAAATGAGGATGCGGCAATTGTGGAAGTGGCGCTAAATGTTGCAGGATCGTTGGTGATAGCGGTGGCGGCGGTGGCGCGGGTTGTGCATAGTTAAAGGACGGTGCATGAACAGCTGGACGCGGCAGGTGGTATGGAGCCTCCGCCACTGCGGCGGCTACCAGAGATATCACCAATATCTGAAAATATTATAAACGTATATTAATAAAACTTTACACACGTATTCAGATTTTAAAAATTCGAAAAGGAATACAAATAGTTGATTTGTTTAACACTGTATGAGCAGTTCTAGCTCATTACACTATCTAATGGAGCAGGTCGCATTGTTTGGATTGAATTAGAAACCAGACTCGCTGTACTGTTGACTTTGGGGCTGACGTACACAATTTTCACTTTCGTCGTGTTTGCATACTCACCGCGCTTCTCATGGCTGATGTGGGATTGTGTGCAATATGTTGTAAAAATCCTACAGTTTTATACCCGCCACCTCTACGAATCTTTGAGGCTAGCGGTCGGGTCTTGCGATTACACAAAAGAATTATAAATGGTGTCGTTATGAGCATTTCAGTCGATAATTATTCACATGTAACAACTGTTTGCTTTCAATGAATTTTATTTACTCTTTGTAGCTCGTACTGATTTATGTTTTGACAATTATTGATATATATATATATATATATATATATATATATATATATATATATATGTTATCTATTTTCTTAAAATTTTAAGATATTAAATAAATATGTCCTTATATGTAATATACAGACCACCGTCATCATCATCACTGCTGAACATATGCCTCCACGGAAGAATGCCACAATACATGGTCCCGAGCGACTTGGATCAATCTATCCTACATATCTTACCAGGTCTTCAATTTAGTGAGGAGCTATCCTATAATCCTCTTACCAGTGCAAGGCTGCACTCTTTTACCTTTAATATCATTGTCGGTTCGTCAAACAATATGGCCGACCTTTGCCTATGCAATTTGTTATATCAATATGACTTATCGATTAGTACACGGTACCATAAATAAAGTTAGTATTCGCACAATATACCTAACTAGGTGGTACGTTTTCTTCTTAAGTGTCCGTTTTAAGTCCCTCTCCTCTTGTCTATTTCTGTTGCCTAGAAGCAGTGCGTGCAATACTGTGTTTTGATCTGAATCTTATAGAGAACCAGAGAGTAAGGTATCATCTTAGATACACTAACTAAATGTGACAATGCAACTTCAGCCTTCTTTGTTCGAAGTTGGTTGCAGGTGTCCATGGCCTACAGTTGTCACTTACCATAAGGCAGACTGTAAATATCTTTGCCACTTCAATTTTATTAAAAAAAAGGATTGTTTACCAGAGAAGAGCCGAGCAATTAACAATTTCACTCACGCACGAAATCGAATTCGGTTTGCTCGTGTTTTTTTTTAATAGGTTACGGGTGACAAACGAGTACACAGTCCACCTGATGGCACGTGGTTGCTGTGGCCCATAGACATCTACATCTATCTTCGATTACGAATTAAAATGCAGATGCGTTGTCACCCGTGAGGACTAAGATAGAATGCCTCGTTTCCATTAAAAAGGGTCTCCGGTTGTCTACACTCATCATACGAAACACAGCAGCGTCAAGCTGCTATTTTACGCTGGTATTCTGTGAGAGCGTGGTCCTTCCCCGGTCGAGTCGAACCATTCGTGCTACAACCATAACATAGCTGCAGCATGGCTCTACCACGTATATATTTACTATGACATTTTAAGGCGAGAACTTATCGTCCGAGCTACTATGGCCTCTAAATTATTGACTCTAATTTATATATAAAATAAATTTTGTCATGTTTCATTTTAACTTGATTTTAATTTCCGTCGGAGAGACTAAACTTGATCCTAGATCAGAATAATTTTTTATGTTCTTTCTATTACTCACGACTCTGACATTAGATAGCTATGTATGTATATGGTATAAAAGCCATAAGTAAAAAAAAGCCCAAATCGTAATCAAACCAAAGAGCATTAGTTTTACCATAGAAATGGCCCAGGTAAATCAGCGACAGTTGTGTGATCTTCGCTTCTAATTTTACGCTGGTAGCTCAACAAAAAGAAGTCCTAACTTGTATTAAATGAGTATTGTATAAACTCTAAGAAGCACAGTTATAAATTGTTTGAACGTAAATTATTACAGATGTTTAGGACTGACGAAAGATATGAATGAGTGGCAGTGTCATTACAACAAAGCTCCTATGAGATAATCTTAATGCTAATGTTAGTGATCCAAAAATCTCTGTTTGATTTAATAAGGGTTGTCAGTAAATCTACTCGTGGGCTTCATTTGTATCGGTTAATTCGATTTTAAAAACGACTTACTTACGAATAATTCAAGGGTGAAATGTTTATATTTTTACCTAGACTTAAAAATAAAAAAAAACCTGTGTACTTATATAGGGAGTCACGTAGCTAGCATACTTCTTTAGCGTAACAAAACAAAAATAACTTCCTTATAAATAGTTATCAGTTCCCACGAAAACTTGAGAGACAGTTAGCCAATGAAGTTGTCGCTTTGAGGTGTCAGTGTGCGCGCGCATCGTAATAACTTCATGGTGTCGTTTTTAGCTGTCGGTGTGCATATTAAAATACTATGTGTATATTAAAATACTAGCGATCCGCGCCGGCTTCGCACGGGTGATTTCTGTATCTTGACATCAGCGCCACCTATGGGGGCCAATTATGAATCTAAACCCTTCTCGAATCAACTGAATCACATACACACAAAATTTCATCAAAATCGGTCCAGCCGTTTAGGAGAGGTTCAGTCACATACACACGGACAGTAGAATTATATAATATAAATATAAAGATATTTTTAGAATAAGTATATTATAGGATAAATGAGAATGTCCCGCGACCAATGCTGACTAATTATTTAAGCAAAATATCCTATATTCGATCCGCCCCGGCTTCGCACGGGTGATTTCTGGATATCGACAACAGTGCCGCCTACCGGCTCTAATCGTGAATCCAAAGCGTTTAGGGACCCATTCAAACACATTCAAAAGAATATTCTGGCCAAGTTTTACACCTATAAACGCTATAGTTTGAAAATTTGATTTTTTTTTTATTAACGCCCCCGCAACCCCCCTTGCGGGTGGAATGTCGTAAAATCCGTTCTTAGCTGACCTCTACTCGGTGAAAGGAATATTCCTACCAAATACCAGGTCCCTAGGCTTACTTTATGGTTCGAGAGATATCGTGATGAGTCAGTACAAATGTGTTTTTTTTTACTTAACGCCCCCCGCAACCTGCGGGTGGAATTTTGTAAAATCGGTTCTTACCTGACCTTTACTCGGCTAAGGCATATTCCTAACAAATTTCAAGTCTCTAGAGCTGCTTTATGGTTCCAGAGATAGCCGTGATGAGTCAATATACATAAGTGGAAATCTTTTATATATAGACTAAGTGATCGACGGGCTTTGAACTACTAAAAAGGGCTACTAAAAAGTTCGAAACGACCTAAATTCTGTTCGATAATATACCTATTATGTCTCGCCTTATATTTTACATATAGCTAATCTTTTATTTAAATGGAACTGCATTTCACTTCAAATGAGGTGATTAATAAATCGATCCTCACCAAGAAATATCTTACAGAGCACCATAATATTATGTAGATAACATTAGCCTAATGTTATAATTTTTTTAAATTTAGATAAGTGCACCTTAATTTAGTGGCAATTGAATTCAGTATTTCCCATCGTTTTCGTTGCTCGTATATTTATTATACAGATGTCCAAAGACTTATGTATTATGTGCTTACACTTTTTGCAGGCAGGCAAGCAAGCAGTCCAGTAGTGGCAAAAAAATTCTGTTCAAGTTGAGAAGATAGAGAATGTCGTTATCATCATCATCGTCATTATAGCCCTTCATTACTCAACTGCTGAATATAACCCGCCTTCAAAAAACGTCACGAGGCACGGTCTTGAGCCACCTGTATCCATTGACTTCCCGCATCTGCTACCAACCAAATCTCCACTTCATCTAGTCATCTAGTGGACGGCCTCCCCAACACATCGCATACCGGTATGAGGCTGCCACTCGAGAATTTTTCTTTACCGTCGGTTTATCGGTTCTTCGAGCTATATGGGTGGCCGATTACCAGATCAGTAAGATCTGTTACGCTACTGTTACGTTTTTCTAGGTGATAGTTTTAGTAATGAGGATATCCGCATTTTAACCAGATTAGTTGACATAGCCATTTCAAGCACCCGCGCCCGCTCCGGAGACGTTTCATTCTAATACTTTTCTCTGCTTTATTACTAATTCGCTCGATAATTGGGGTAAAATTTTCATACCAACACACCGTACAATAAAACGACCTTAACAGGACTTGTAATCTCAAATTATAGAAAATAATATGTAATAAAAATTCTGTATCTGTATTTCGTTTGAACGCCTTATAAAAAGCTTAATTACGGGACAAAGTTTTTAATTTTTAAACCTAAATTATATACATATGTAGAAAAATTTAGATGTACTTCGCGTATGTTACCACAACAGAGATATGACATGACGAGCCCAGTGAAGAAGACCAGCAGACGTTGTACTACCTTTCTGATTGGTGGCGCGATTGGTTTCATTTTCACAGACACATTTCTATATAGAACCATCAGCAGCCATAATGACAATAAACTTTAAAAAAAGGAAATACATAACCCTTTTTTTACTCTTCCGTAAGCGGATAAAAAATTACCTATACGTTACACACAGTCATTTACTGCCCATACACAAAATTTCATGCAATTTCGTTGGGTAGTTTTTGCGTGAATCGTGAACACACAATTTTCCTACAGATTTATTATATGTATAGATTATAGTAAATTATACTTATTTATGTATACATTTATGTTTTTTAAAACTTTCCAGAAGAACAAGCAAGGTGATAGAAACCCCTATTATGTCAAGAGATCCGTCTGAGTTGGTGGTATCCTCTTACCTTTTTCTGCCGATAGTCATCAGTAGTTACACCACCTACAATATTCTGGTATGACGAGAACCAGTATAAAGAGCCTATGCGGCATTTCATCTTAATCCACTGGAGTGTTCAGTCCTCTACGCATCCTTGGTCTGCTTTGAATTTGAAGTTAGTTACAGGCGCCCATGTATTGCAGTTTCCATCAAGTGGATTATCAATTCGATTGTCTGCCTAATATGACGAAAAATTTAACGATTTTTACGCTATTTTTTTTATTTTTTTTTTAAATTTATTGTTTGGCAACCCTAGGCGTGTGTAATATTTGGTTAACCACTAGTAGCCCATATAGAGACTCAAGTGCAAACAATGAGGTAAGAGAGAAATTTGAACCGGCAAAGGCGGCGCGGGTTACAAATTTACACCTTTATTTTATTCTCAAGTGACTAGAAGTCAGTGAGAAACGCATTAGATAACAATTTGCGTCTCGTCATTCGCAACCAAAAGTACCAAAAAGTACTTTTTGGTACTTTGCAATTAAAATTAATCTTACCTAATGTAAATCGCAAGTTACCTTCTGGACCTTGGTTACGTTAACATGTAACATTATACACAATGTAAAAGAATCTTTTTCTAAGTAAGTAAGTAGACGCTGCATTCCATAGACACCGGCATCTTTTCTCGATTAAGAATCGAAATACGTGAAAGAGTCTAATAATGCTTTTGAAAAGCCGCCAACGCACCTGCAATTTCTCGGGTGCATCGGTTACTCGTTGGCGGCGGTAGCACACTTATCATCATATGAGCCATATGCTCGCTGGTCCCTTCTTATAAATATAAAACTAATACGAAATTAAAAAAGATTTCCTATTTTCGTCATTTACCATACGTAACGCAGTAACTTATTAAATATTACGCATAAATTATTCTACCTTTTACACTAGTTTCCATTCCAGGATCGAGTTGAGCCTTTTGTGACAAGATATCTTTGTTTTCGATTTTGAACCTGATTTACTAAAGTAAAATTCAATTTTACTTTGCGTGACTTCGTTTTATGCGAAATTTTAAGCATTTGCACCGTAGAAAAACATTTGGCCTAGTTTCATTATCCAGGAAAAAAACAGAGTAATAAGTTTACGCTAAGGTATCCCCTTAAGGTAAACACAACCTGCCTGCCAAACGTGGCGAATTACTTTATATGAATTATTTACACAGGAAGATCTCTGTTTACTAATACATTATTGGGATCGGGTTAAAAAGTAAAACGGCAATATCTCTTTATTTGTATTTAATTATAACACTTCCTATAAGCTATTACTGTTGTATTTTTTAAACATGAGTAGATGATACCTAGGTATAAATCATTGTTGAGTGTGCACTCTACTAAAATGTTCTCGGTGTTAAGCTAAATACATTTTTTATAGATTAAGTGTGTAAGTGTAATGGTAAGTGGATGCTGAGGCACATAGACATCTACATCTATCCTCCAAAGTGCGGATTTATTGTCACTCTTGAGGATGAAATGCCCTAATTCCTGTAAAAAGGGGTCTCCGGTTCTCGGGGTCGAGCCGACCCATTTGTGCTACAATCACAATATAGTTGCAGCGTGGCTCTACAACATGTTTTTATGTAACAATTTTTTTTAGTAAGTGATTGTTTTATTTCTTAATGGGATAGTCGCGAACAGGCTGCGGAGGCGGACGTCCCTTGAATCGCTTTATTTCCGCCTCACGTTGCTTCCTCTTTGCAACAATCCTGTCGTGAGTTCGTTTCATTTCAAAAATCTCCTTCATTTCTTCTTTTTCTTCATCCTATTAAATACAAGTTTTGAGTAAATTAGCAAAATCTGTGTAAATTATATGCTCAACATTCAAAGAAATGAAAAAGCAGTATAAAGAGTCGAACTCGATTTGCTAAAGACGTCATTAGCCCCTAACAGATTAATATGTATGACTGGCACCTGATCATTATTACTAGCTGATACCCGCGGCTTCGTCCGCGTTGCTTACACACTTTGCTTACATCACCGAACACATAGTGGTTATAAAAATCCTTTCTTAAAACTTTAATAACTTTATATTAGATAAAGATATCGCAATATCTTTTTTTAGATAAGGGCCAAGTGTTTAAGAAATAAAACTTAGAAAACCTAATTGAAATCTATCCAGTAGTTTTTCCGTGATGCGCGCACAACTGTAAACCTCCATCATTTTATTTATATAGATCAATCAACTTTTTATGCAAATCCTAATTAGTGCAGTTTAGGACTTTTCTTGAATGCAATCTCAGTAACGGAGTAAAAATTATTATTAAGTTTACTAAACTCACTAACATAAATTTCATTAATTGTCATCATCATCATGAGAACCGATTAAAGTCCACTGCTGAACATAGGCCTGCCCATATATTGTCCCTTAAAGGGGATATATTTGTCATAATGTGGTTGACAATCGCAGTTTATTTTTTATTTTTAATAGTTATTAAAAAGACGCTGCTATCCATCTCCCGGTTTGTTTCACTCGGTCACCACTTACGACATTTACATATTTACACCGCCACTACACGGTAATATGGTATTGGTTAAACAATGCTTTTTTTAATATAGGATAGAGTAACAAACGAGCACACAGCCCACCTGATGGTACGTGGTTGCTGTGACCCATAGACATCTACATTTATCATCAATAAAGAATCAAAATGCAGATGCGTTGTCAGCCGTGAGGACTAAGATGGAATGCCTCTTTTCCAGTAAAAAGGGTCTCCGGTTCTCTACACTCACCATACGAAACACAGCAGTGTTAAGCTGCTATTTTACGCTGGTATTCTGTGAGAGCGTGGTCCTTCCCCGGTCGAGCCGACCCATTCGTGCTACAACTATGCTACTAATATAGCTGCAGCATGGCTCTACCACGTATAAAAATGAAAAATGTTCTAATACTTTCTTGCGTTTGACCTCACCGTCTGATTAATCCTCAAAACCAGCGCCCTCTTCCCATTGGCCATCGGCTGGCTGTAAGTCAGCAGCTGTTTCAATCGCTGTTGTGGCGTCACTCCTCTCTCCACCACCAGCACGATGCGAGCCCACTGTCTCTGCCATTCGTTGCGCGTCTCCGCTATCTTCTGATAAGTGTTTCCCATCATAGCGATCAACATGTTGACAAGAAGTATGGCCACTATTATCATGTACAGGACGAATAGCAGCTGAAATGAAAAATATTTTTGCTTATTCGATTCAGATTCGATTATTTACTTCTTATAATAAGGTAGTGTAAGAATTTCCACTACCTCGTATCGTCGTCGCGTGGGTGTCGTAAGAGGCATATAAGGCAAATTGAAATAGGAGATGGGCAGCAGTCTCTTTCTGATTGCAGAACATAAAAAACTGTGGTATCCAACTCGCCTGCCAAGTGAGTTTTCCAACTATGGCAAAATCCTCCATAGATTGATGAATGGCCCCTTATAACAAAACCTCAGTGGCAGATAACAGTCAGTGATTTCGTAAGTTATTCGTTTTGTTAGATTTGACACGGAACTCTAAAAGAACGTATTACTCGTAGTAGGTACACATGCAGGAAGTCGATGGATGCAGGTGGCTCAGGACCGTGCTTTGTGGCATTCCTTGCGGGAGGCCAATGTTCAGCAGTGGACTTATGAAGGGCTGTAATGATGATGATGATAATAATAATGAATAAGTGTATACGTATTATATCACTTTCACCGTCTGTATCCGTCAGCTTCGAGACTGACTTAGCCTTAGAAGAACTTGCGAAAGAAAATATTTTTACCTTAGCTTCAATCTCGTGGTCCGTACGTTCAAACGCGCTATAATAATCTGAGAAGGAGGTGAGCGACATTAGGAACATGGCCATAATGCTTTCCATAGGAGATGGCATGGGGTTCGACACCGAGTCGTCGACTCCCTCCGGCGTGTTCGGATTATCGAATGATAAAAATATAACGTAGTACGCTGTAAAAGAATTACTCTAATTTCAGATTACAGTAAAATTTTACAGTAAGTTTGTATAAACTGTATACCTACTGTAAAAAAAGTGAAAAGCACAAATAATAATATAATAAGCGTCAGTAGCCTAATGGCAGGGCGCGGACCGCGAACTCCAAAGGTCGTGGGTTCGAATCCGACATTCGAGTACTGTCGTGAACACAAGCATTTTAAGCTTACCAGAAGTGGTTAAAGGGAATATTAGTAATGTTTAATAACATTACTAGTATTAAAAGAAATGAATTCAATGTCAATTTTCAACTGACTTCCAAAAAAAGAACAAGTTCCCAATTCGTCGGAATATTTTTTGTGCATGTTCAGTTATAACTCTTTGTTACGTTGGCCGATTTCAATAACTATTTTGGTTGGAGAGGAGATACTTCAGGGATGGTCTAATATAAATTTGGTTAAGATCTAATAATGAGATCCATGACAACATCATCAAACTCTTCAATTTGCAAAGGCATGTGCACGACATACGGCTTAACAATTCAACCACATCAACTGATGTGGATGATTATATTTTTTTAGCTCTTTGTAGTCGGTTTTTACTTTTTTTTAAAGTTAAATCTTGTAATTTTAACAATACTTTAATTTAATCGCTTCTCACCAACTATAAGAAATAAAAAAAAAAACATTGCGAAGTTCGATAATATGCATTGGGGCAGCACGACGACGATTTTCTAAAGCCCTCTCAGAAGTCAAAGGAGCCCTTTGACCAGCAGTAGGGCGTATATAGGCTGTAACCTTAAATTAAACATTAACAGTATTTCGGTAGCCACGGGATTCACACTTGTACTTGATACACAAATATTGTAAAACAAGTACACGTGTGTATCCAAATCACAAAAATAAAGCTGAAGTTTACCCAAGTGATCGTAAACGGCTAGTACCTAGTTGGGTCCGCGGTAGAACCAAGCAAGTAAGTAAGTAAGCTGAAGTGGCAATGGGCCCCACTACATGGAGTGACGAGATGATATGAGATGAAGGAAGTCGACGGTTGCAGGTGGCTCAGGACCGTACTTTGTAATGTTCCTTGGGGGAATTCTATGTTCAGCAGTGGAAGTGAAAGGCCGTAATGATGATGCTTATCAAGACTTAAATTCAAATAATAAATTAAACACATCTATTTTGAAACTACTTTAAAGCTGTACCTTGCGAAAATCCCATGACGAACACCAAATAGATGCAAACGAAACGCAATAGATCTCCCATCACCATTTTATAGATCATTACTACGAAGGGGCCGACAGTTTTGAAGCCTCTGGGAATAATATTATGAATAGCTTTTTAGTTAATACCTGACTATTATAACATTTATTAGCCCTAAATAGTGTTATGTTTAATTTTCTCTAATCGTCACTATTGAGTGCTTAATAGGGTTCGCTTTTATTTTCAAGTTTTAAATCCTTTATTTTTGCCGAACACAAATCTCATATGGTCCGTTAAACAAAAACGGTATAAAAACGGTTGTTATAACATTAACCCCTGTCCTGTCCCTGTCCCATGAATCTTAAATGAACATTTCAGTTGTTTAACTATTATTTCTACATGGTAGACAGAGAAACTGTTAGAGATACATAAATGACAATCCCCCGAATGTAAATAACCCCTGGAAAAAAGAATGGTCGCCATCAAACTGTTTCTATAATCGACAGTAGCCTAATGGTTATAGCCACGGACTGCCAATCTCCACTATATGACAATTAGACGTACGGATAGATCCCCTTCGTTGTCGACTTACCACGCATTCGAACCAAACGCCTTGCTTCGGCCTTCGTCATACATACAGCAAAAGAGTGAAATAGTTTGCCAGAATCGATCTTTCTATCCAATTACAAAGTGGGTATGTTTAAGGCAAGAATAATGAATGGGCTTTTTTAAGCTAAGTCAGTCAGTCAGTCTTCCGCTGAATAACAACTTACCATCAAGTAGAATTATAGTCAAGCACTAGCTTAGAATGGTTAAAAAACTCAACGTGGTAGATTTAAATTCACCATTTTTTTACTGTCGTGGGCTTTGTACTTTGTGCAATTTGTGTAGATCAGACCAAAAATTAATAATTATGAACAGAAGGCAGCCGTGGTTAACTGTGTCATTGGGACGTCAAACGACTCAGTTCACCTGTGACCATGGGTGCCATAAAGTACTCGAAACGTCAGGAATATAAAAAAAGTAAATATAGGCTATAATCCATAAATCTAGTTTTATTTCAACTAAGAGCCTTGATCTATCTGACAGTGACGATAATCACTAGTAGACCGGTGATTATCGTCAACAGACAGATGGACTGGCCATCTGTCTGGTGATTACAACAAGCACCCTTAGCTTAAAGACGATGACAACATGTTTAACCTCGTAACAGAGAGCATAATTTAAACAATACATTATTTTTATAAGATAAAGGTGACAAACGAGCACACAGTCCACCTGATGGTAAGTGGTTGCTGTGGCCCATAGACATTTACACCTATCCTCGATTAAGAATCAAAATGCAGATGCGTTGTCACCCGTGAGGACTAAGATGAAATGCCTCGTTTCCAGTGAAAAGGTCTCCGGTTCTCTACATTCACCATACGAAACACAGCAGCGTTAAGATGCTATTTTACGCTAGTATTCTGTGAGAGCGTGGTCCTTCCCTGATCGAGCCGACCCATTCGTGCTACAACTATATATACCAGTAACAAGATAGACATTCAAAATTATAAAGCTTTATTAATATTACCTGCAAAAGAATAAAAAATACGGAGCAGTGGTAAGCATAATAATTACAGCAAGGTGATCTTCCTCCTCATCAGCACACCAGAGTCTCAGAGTTGGCAGCACCAACATTAGCAGGCAGGAAAATAGAAACATTATCCTAAAAAAATTGGTATTGGTCAGTCAAAAACTATCTTCGTATAAACTTAAGTTAGAAGTGAGGGTAAGATAATAAAGGAAAATAAGAAGAATCGAGGCTGGAACTGTAATCTCCCACTCTATTTAGCAGTATAAAGTATTGTGCAGTCGAGTAAGAAAGATCAGTCGGTAATTCTACGAGTCTCATTGTCGTTATTATGCCGGTTGGGCTAAGGCATTATCTTTACACTGAGATTCTTCCTAAGTAAGACAAGCGACGTGTAAGCAAGGAAGATCGTTTTGCTCAGAGGGCTGCCCTGCATTACATTGAGATCGATTGTGTTGCTGTTGGTTGTTCACGTTACACCAATGTGTGATTGTACATCATATTATTACGGTTGGTTGAACTGTATTTGCTCTATACTGAATGTGTAGTACAGTACGCTCTCTTATTCCTAGTAATGATTAATTGCGTAAGCAAGAGATCAAGTTGAGTCTCACACTTTTATTATTTTTAACAATTAACCTCCAGAGTAATTTCTAATACGAGTAATATTCCTTTATTTAAATAATTTTGAGGATAGTTTCTAACACTTAATTATGTATGTAGATGATTCATCCATCCCAGGAATATCTAGAACATGTTTGTCTGTTTTCGATGCAGATACACGAATGCCTTAAATAAACAAAGATAATATTTTTTTCTCTAGAACAGATAATATAAGAATGTAAGCAGTTAGATATGTAGTCAATGTTAACGGAAGCGGTGAAGGCGTTTATAAAATCTAAAATAAAATTTAGAGATATCCGTACAGAAGCTCATGTAATCTAATAATGACGAACTTTCCTGCAGACATCTTTCTGCAGAACATCTTTCCTGCAGACCTTATTACATTTGCTTACTCATGGGTCGCGCTATTAGCCACACACGGTGCCAAGTCAGCAACAGCATCTATGCACGTACATGTATCACTTTGTGTGGAGTTGAATCCATGGCTATGTACCTACTTTCAACAAAATAATTAACTTACTGAAATTCATTAGTTACAGTTAGCACCAAACGTTGGTCTAACGAAAAGGTAAGTCAGATTGTAGGACAAACTTAACTTTCAGTGGAAAAAATGTTTTCCCTTAAATCTTCGATTTTGCTTTACATGATTCTTGCCAAATTTCATGATTTTAGGTCCACGAGAAGTATGCTACTCGTATTTGTGGATATCAAAAAATTTAACATAACGTGGCTGTATCTTTTGATACCTTGACTTTAATTATTCAATCGGACCGTAGACTTTAGTCCTTAGTATTTCATATTAATTCAACTTGATGCCTTGAGGTTGAATGCTGTCAAGACCGTTTCCTGAGAAAAAGGGTCTTGACAGTCGTACATACGGACAGACGGACGTACATCAAAGTATTAAGTGCAAGGGATAATGGTTTCGTTTTTTCCGTTTGTAGTAAAAAACCAAAAAATGCCTTTAATTTTTTTTATTATTATTCGCAATAATATCACGCAACAATCTTCTTACATGGGAAAGATTTTCTAACAAAAACACACACACACTTAATGAAACACTTGCCCTTATTCTTAAATGGTAGTGATACAGCTGGTGTCCACAAGAGCCAGGCGCTTACCGGAAATTTCCATAACGTAATTACGCTATGATGTAAAATAATTTGTTTTCTTACCTCGAGGGTACAGTACTCAAGTTCTCAATAAACATCTTTAATCCCAAAAACCTCGCTTCTCTGAGTGCGCCTCCTATATACGCTAAAGCCCCGAGCCAAAGTAATAATTCTCCTGAAATTCGTAGCTGTAAAATGGATAAAGTTAATTTTTTTATCCATTACGTTACTTACAATTACTACGTTACTTATATTACAACAAATATTGTTAAAAAGATCCTGGCAACACAGTGGTTTGATTCATCATGACTTGTTTTTATATTTTTTCGAGATGTTTCTACTGATTAGTTATTAGGAAATGTGGGTATAATATGTTATGAAAACATGTTAATAGCATTAAGGCCACGGTTTTCATACTAGAGAATCGATACTTCTTGGGATAGTATAAAGTCAGAAAAAAAAACGCATGTACATGAAATACTCAAGCCATCAAAAACATAACTTGTAAAAAAACCAAGTCTCGCAACTCAGTTCTTCTACCGTAAAAAGTTGTGAGATCCATGTAATACCAAGTCAGTTAATTTATTCAGTCCCTACTTAAGGGTCCTTTTGTCTTAAGTTATTACGTAATTAGCTAACCTAGCAACATCTTATAGTGACCATATCAATACTAAAAATCTTTTATATTTTAAATAAATAGATTGACTTGGCCATTGCATGAAAACACAATGTATCTCTCAAGTAATACATATTATATTAAATTAGTTTGTTTAGTGGGATTGCCAAGTCAATTTATTTATGTAAAACATAAAAGATTTTTAACATTGATATGGTCACTATAAGATGTTGTTAGATTAGCTAATTACGAAATAACTTAAGACAGAAGGACCCTTAAGTAGGGACTGAATAAATAAACCGACTTGGTATTACATGGATCTCACAACTTTTTACGGTAGAAGAACAGAGTTGCGAGACTTGTTTTTTTTTTACAAGTTATGTTTTTGATGGCATCTCATATCTTTTTGAGATGTACTTTTCTGCCGACTTCAAAAAGGACACGGTACTCAAATCGACTGTATGTTTTTTTTATGTGTGTGTTACCTCATAACTTTTTACTGGGTGAACCGATTTCGATGATTCTTTTTTTATTTGAAAGCTGGTACATCACATGTATACCCATATGAATTTGATCAAGGTCAGACCAATAGTTTTTGAGTTATTCTTAAAAATTTATATTGAAGTCGGCTGAACAAAATTTTTAATTTTAAATTATTTTCCGTTCCGGTACCATCTACTTCTTGAATACCAGCTACGGATTTTCAGGCAATTTAGTCTACTTAATACTTTGAGGGATTTTGGTACAACTTCATAAGACATGTCCTATTTTTGCTTTTTCATTCCGTTGACCATTTTACAAGTTACCTTTGAACATAATTATATCTAGGTGCATATACAGGTACACTGATTCATTCACTATACATGTAACTTTGTAATCCTATATATTTATATAGGATTACAGACTCGCTCTTCCGCACTGACATTTTGGACAAGGGCGATAGAAACTTAGCCCCGAATAAAATCCTTTGTTTAATGATTACAAATAAAATAAACTGAATTTTGAAAAAGTAAGAAAACTAAATTACTCCATATAATTTCGCAATGAAGTATTAAAATTTCAAAAGAATTGTAGCAGTAATATGGTTGCTCCTCGAAAAATAGGGGTGAATTAAGATTTCTTTTCTTCAGTTAGATATATTGAAATACATTTCGAGAAAAATTACATAATTTGTCAATCTTGTAGAATACTGTGTATTTTTTCCGATAAAATAAAGCTGCAGTAAAAAACTGGTTACAATGTTACTCATTTTTACGGTAAACCGTCCACAGTTACTATTTTTTAATAGATTAAGGGTGAGAAACTAGCATACAGTCCACCTGATGGTGAGTGGATGTTGTTGCCCATTCAAATCTACATTTATCTTCGACTAAGAATCAAAATACAGATGCGTTGCCACCCCTGAAGACTAAGATGGAATGTCTCATTTCCACTAAAAAGGGTCTCCGGTTCTCTACACACACCATACGAAACACAGCAGCATTAAGTTGCTATTCTGTGAGAGCGTGTTCCTACCCCGGTCGAGCTGACCCAATCGTAATACAACCATAGTATAGCTGCAGCTTGACTCTACCAAGTATGAAACTACTATAATAATAATATATACTAAGGACAAGCCTTAACGTCAGAAATCCTTACCTTAAATATTTTTAAAATTAAGTTAAATTAAAATATTACCTGTGGCAAAGAAAATATACACTACGCCTGTGGCACATAATGCGTTACGTTTTTTTTTTTTTTAATTGTTCGTAAAATAAAATTAAAACTATTGTTCTTTTTAATATCACCAGTACTCTTTTAAAAAAAAATCCTTTCAGCATAGGGGCGAAACGTATATTTGGTCATCGATACGCTAAAAATAATTACAATACGTACTTTTGCTTGCCACGAATCAAAATTCATTAACCTGCATTCTTCTGTAAGATCCTGCCACCAATCTCCCATTGACTCTCTTGGTGAATCAAAAGCTGAAAAATATTTAATAATCGTATTAATGTTTTCCTACTTTTTAAATAAATATCAGTAAAATTTTACTGTCGTAAGTAATGCCCTAAGAGAATCAAAGTTCGCAATTTGTGTTGTAGGTAATTAATATATTATCTTACGTCGTAATATACAGAGCGGCGGTCTCTGATATTACGACGTAAGATAGAAAGATCGTCAAAGGTGCGAAACGACTGGTATTACGATTGCAAATCCAGATCGCCAATTGATTTTAACAAAACCTCACTACAACATTAGAGGCCAATTTTCGGCAATGGAATTTTACAGGTGGTGAAGAATTAGATACATTTTTAGAGCAAAAAACCGCAAGAACTTGAAGCTATTTTCGAAAATTTGTTTCTTTAGTAGATAATAATTTTTAAGCCCTTCATATAAAACATGGCATACAGCAAAATAACTAATTTGCAGGTGACATTGGTGAGAAGTTGTCACTATGGGTAGGTAAGCATGTCAATGGAAATTACATTTGTCCTTATCTTTTCGATGGCTCTTGAAACGACTGCAGTGAATGCCTGGTTTCGTTACATTAATCACTTCTACTGCACCAGGATCCAGTTCCGTCGCATTAGGAATCGCTGTACAGTTTGCTGTAACAACACATCTTACAATTACAATTTGGGATAACTTATTGCGATATTTTGCTGTTTGTTTAAGTAACCGTCAAATATAAAAAAAGTATCTTACCGACATCAAGAGTGAAATTGAGATTTGGACCAACTGTGGAGTTCACTACGGTGGAGTTAGCGGTGCGATCTGGTGGCCCTGGGCGTAAAGTGAAGCAAACAAGCGACACTAAGAAGTAAAACGAAAATACAATAAAGCGCCGATAGAAACGAAATTTCACAAATGTATTCCATTTGATCTTTAACAGGTTGATGAGCATGCCGTCCAGAAGTTCTAAGTGCTCGTCTTTTTCCTGAAAAAAGACCTTTGTTGAAAGTACTCAATCATAGGTAACTAACGAAACAATATATTTGTATAAAAGGGTGTAACTTTATAAAATTGTAAGTAGCTTGAAGAAGTTTCTTCATGATCATCATCAGCCCGTAAAGTCGGCTACTGGACATGGGCCTCTCCTGTTGTAGTGGGGCTTCAATCAACAAGTTGGTATTGTTAATCGAAGTAGTGGGGATTTGCCTTAAATGTCACGCTTGGCATGCGGATCGACGCGATGACGATCGTCATACCTCATATTTGATCTCGCACCTTTGGGGCTACTGCCCGTCGTTTGCCTGAATTGGGCGTCTGTTGTGAACAAGAAACTTAACCACTTTTAAACTCATAATTGTATTTTAAGAATAGTTTCTTTTCGGAACGAAGTTCCTTATCGGACGGTACGTATTTGGCGGATGGGGGCTAGGCGAGAAAAAGTGTAAGATTTTTCCGTCACAACCCCTTCTCACGTAGTGTAGATGGTCTTGGCGGCTATAAAGAAGCGAGATGGAATAATATCCCATCTCCCTCGCACTTTTTCTTATCTCGCCATGAAAAAAAATTTCATTTTATTTTAAATGACGCTTCATTTTAATAGACGCTAGTAATTCATTTATTTGTATTTTTTAATCAATAAAATAATATGTTTATCAATAATAATATATTACGAAAGGAACTTCGTTCCAACCGAGTGTTCCACGATACTCACACATGATTTTTTTTATTAAAGTATTGTTAACGCCATGTGGTAGCAACTTTCACTCTATCTTGTCCTGTATGAGTCGAAATACGTCACTATTGGAAATGACTGAAAAATCTTATGGCTTCGATAGATTTATGTCTGGTATATAAATAAAAAGGTTCTTGTACACATATCACTAAATGGCGTTAATTTAATAATACCTTTTGTACGTGGTAGAGCCAAGCTGCAGCTATATTAATAGTACAGTTGTAGCACAAATGGGGCGGCTCGACCGGGGAAGAACCACGCTCTCACAGAATACCAACGTAAAATAGCAGCTTAACACTGCTGTGTTTCGTATGATGAGTGTAGAGAACCGGCGACCCTTTTTACTGGAAAAGAGGCATTCCATCTTAGCCCTCACGGGTGATAACGCATCTGCATTTTGATTCGTTATTGAGGATAGATGTGGATGTCTATGGGTCACAGCAACCACTTACCATCAGGTGAACTGTGTGCTCGTTTGTTACCCTATCCTATAAAAAAAATACCAAATTTAAAAATTATGCAGAAACAACTTTTAAAATAAACTTATAAGCATATGAATCTATTCCTTCTTTCCTTTTTTTTTTTAAAGAATATGGTTGATAAACGAGCACACAGTTCACTTGATGGTAAGTGTGGCCATAGACATATAAATTTATTCTCGATTAAGAATCAATATGCAAATGCGTTGTAACCCCTAAGGACGAAGATGGAATGCCTCGTATCCAGTAAAAAGGGTCTCCAGTGCTCTACACTCACCATACGAAACACGTATAGTGCATTGGCTCTCTAGTGAAATGCTGATGTTATATCGCTTTTTGAGTATCTTTTGGGGTGTCTTTGTTTGATTCGAGATAACGTTTATGATTAGTACACTTTGTTTTATAATTCGGACTTTGTTACATTAATGCTCTGTGTCATAAAGTTCAAAAATATTTGAATGTGATTGCAATCTAGGATTGCTATTCAGCAGTTCGTTAGATATTGTATATATATCCTTATATATACAATATCTAACTACATATGTACATAATTAATTCATACGTAAAACATCTACTCGTCTATCGTTCATAATATCGTATAACTTCATTCATCTTATCACTCATCGCTTCCCATACGTTCAGCGTAGCTAAACGGGCTTCTGCAATCCACTTTTCGCCCTTCTGGGACACATAACGTGACGAGTGTCGAGCCTTATCGCCGGGTTTGCTTTCGAAGATTCTCCGCAGGCCTGACCCATCAAATTAACGAAAGAGAAATGCATGTGGTATGTATATCGTTACTGGCATCGTCTTGACGACACTAAACGGGGCATGCCAGGAAGTTTTTTTCGTAGTTATAACTATTTGAAGTTTAAATTCAATAAAAAGTTAATGTATTCATCTTCCAATGCTAACTAGTAAAAACAAAAACTCAAAAGACATCATAAATACTCACACCAAACACAACCAAATTAAGCGCGGAGTCTTTATGAATAAGTCCAGTTTCAGTATCAATAGTGTCCACCAGTCCTAATGGATAAGCGGCACAAGTGGTGGCTCCGATCTGCCAGTAGATCTCCCGTTCAATGTTCAGGATGTGGACAAAAAGATCTGTACGGGCTAGCTTGGCCGCCAGTGTTAGAGGCGTCAGGTTAAGAACATTGCGTATGTTTAGAGACGCACCCACTTCGTATGCCATGTCGAATGTGCTCTAAAACAGACAAAACAAAAATAAAACAAATGGTCAACTAAGTTTTAGGACACACTTAAATAGGGTTCCACCAATCCTTCCTGCTATCGGCAAAGAAACTCAATTTTACTCGAATACTGTTTTCATAAGTGAAATCTTACAGTGTTCGTTAATATTTTTAATGGAACCTGTTTGGAAATAGCAATTTTGCAGTGGTTTTTTTGCATATTTAATGTTATTTGAAAAATTATAAAAAACGTATTAAGTACATAGCTTAATTATTATTATTATAAATGTCTTGTGGAACAATAGACATATACCAATTTTATGACAATAACGAATGTGGAGATAACCATCGCACTGACTGTTTGCAATAGTGTAAGCACATTAAAATATATAAATATAACTTGCGATCCGCCACGGCTTCACACGGTTATTTTTTAGATCTCGATAACAACGCCACCTACCGGGTCCAATTGTGAATCTAAACCATTTTCAAAATTTCAAAATCGGTCCAGCCGTTTAGGAGAAGTTCAGCCCGAAGATTTATATAATATATAATGTGCATGTATTATACATGTAAACCTTCCTCTTAAATCATTCTGTGATAAAAAAAACGACATCAAAATCCGTTGCTTAGTTAAGATCTAAGCGTACAGACGGCGGGAAGCGACTTTGTTTTATACTATGTAGTGATATTTTCATAAATTAAAATTATATCCATATATAGAGAATCTTAAGTCTAAGAATGATATCTTAATCACTAGTGATAAATTAGTACTGAGATAATATGTAAAGAATCATAATTGTTCTTAAATCGATTGTATACAGCGGAAGTTTAAAACTAAGCAAAAAATCACAACCAAGGGACGGCTTGGTGGGCAAAAGTTGAATAATTCATCATGTGGTTAGCTATGGAGAGTCGCTATATCTACTCACAGTCACTTGACTAAAGGGGATCACCACCAGCCGCTAATATTATTAATCTAGTCTTTAATTTTCACTTTATTTTATAGTTATATTTTGTACTATAAAAATTACCTGTATAAGAAAAAAGAAAAGAAATAATGAAATTTACCATTTTATCATATATAATAAGCATATGTAGTACAGTATTTCCATTAGTATCTTGTTTATCAGGGTTAGCGCCTCGTGCTAGGATTAGCCGGTAGGATTCTTCTTGACCCAGACATGCTGCGAAGCTGAGGGGATACTCACCCCAATATACGTAACTGGAACCAAGTAATTTAGTAAGGGTAATTAGTAATAACTTAAAAAGTGACTTTTGTAATGAGTTGCAGCATAGACTAAAAACAGCTTTCTAGGAGGGTTATTTGTCATAGTTGCCCCGTTTGATAGACGGATTGACAAACGCAGTTTTCTGAAGTTATACTTCTTTTGGGGCGTTTGGGAAAAATCCGCGCACACCGACAGATAAAAACGACACCATGAAGTTGTTACGATGCGCGCGCATAGTGACACCTCAAAGCGACACAACTTCATTGGATAACTGTCTGTCAAGTTTTCGCGGAAACTGATAACTATATTTAAGGTTACGCTGAAGAAGTATAACTTCCTACGTGCGTACATTAGTAGTACACACACACACACACACACACACACACACACACACACACACACACACACACACACACACACACACACACACACACACACACACACGTGTAGCAGCTTAACGCTGCTGTGTTTCGTATGGTGAGTGTAGAGAACCGGAGACCCTTTTTACTGGCAAAGAGGCATTCCATCTTAGTCCTCACGGGTCACAACGCATCTGCATCTTGAGTCTTTATTGAGGATAGATATAGATGTCTATGGGTCACAGTAACCACTTACCATCAGGTGGACTGTGTGCTCGTTTGTCACCCGATCCTATAAAAAAAACACGTTTTTATTGTTATTTTGAGTTGTTATCAAGATGATGTTGCTGTCTCTCCTCTGCTCTTTCTGCTCCTGCTCTCTTGCTGCATTTCTCTCTGTCGCCTCTTACTAAGCCCATGTAATGATATGATGGTATAGAAGATTCTACGCCTTCAAATTCAAAGTAATGCATAAAATTTTGCATATTTATGTGTACATAATTATGTTTAAGGCTCAAAAGTGGCGTGTCGTTTCGCATCACTTCAAAAGCACTCCAGCGTAATGTAGTGTACTTAAAATGCTCCAGCGGCCTCAAAGGGCAGATTACTCTTTACCTATAAACAAATTTAGCCCCCAACTGCAATAAGTAGATAGAATTTCGAAAAAAAATCCTTCATTTGTTTGGCATTTTCTACAGTTCTATGAAAAAAACTATGCTGTAGAATGTAGCATAATCAATCAATTCAATTAATTAGTACATACGTAGAAATTATTTACCAATCACAAATCTAAAGAGTTTCTCTCTCTCTCTCTCTCTCTCTCTCTCTCTCTCTCTCTCATATCTAATTTTTATATTGTTTTAATTCGTTATAAAACAACATCAAAAAAATTTTACGTACCCTTCATAGTTAGTGTTAGGTTGTACATTAACCCACTCATGGTCCAATGAGTCATAGCGTGACGCTTTCTGATCCTCGGGGCATATAAAATTACCACAGAAACGCTCGTGGTAATCTGCTCCAGCGTCCAGAAGGAACTTCACCATAGTTGGATTCTCGTTCACTATCGTCATGTGGAGTACACTCTCACCTTTAAAAATGTTTTATTTTTCATTATTGATGCTACAAACAGTCTAAGGTACCTACCTAGCCTACAGCAACTAAATTTTTGTTATATTTATAACAATGATTTTATGGGTTTTAATTTTTTTGCGAGGAACCCTAATTATTTCTTTAAAATAAAAGTAGACTTCGTCACTTCTTATAACATCAACTATCTGCCAGTGAAAGTCCTGTCAAAATCGGTCCAGCCGTTTTAGAGATTATCCGGAACAAACAGACAGACCGACAGATTGCTTTTTTTGTTATTAGTACCGTATATACTTTTATATGCATTTAGTAAGAAGCTGTTATTTTGACATTACAAACAGACACTTTAATTTTATTTATTTGTATATAGTCAAGGAAATAATTAGAATAAAGAAAGCTTCAGGGATTTTGAGCGACAACCTTCACTTGCGCCAGCTTACGCAAAAAAAGAGGTAATTACAATAATACATGTTCACAAATATAATATAATATACATATAAACTTGATTTTAAATGTAAAAAATATTTAAGTGAGCCACAACTTGCATCATAAGAAGAGTAAAATTACCGAAAAATATTAGAAAAGGTTTCAGATTTATAACATAAATTACAAAATATCAGGAACATACTCGTAGAATAAAAATAAATTAAAAACTAAGATATACCAAACAAGAGAGGGGAAAAATTACAGTAATAAAAAAATAACAAAAATAATCACTCTTTATCTCGTAAAAAATATAATACTGCGTTTTTTTGAAAGGAACACTAAAAATTTTCACAGAATTCAGAGTCATTAGGAGATGAAAAATCAATTAAGGTCTGACCAAAGTTGGAGGTGCAACGAATCGGACTGCATGTCAGTCAATATTACTTAAATTAAGATCTAAGTAAGAGACACATTTTCTAATCCTTCAGACACTCTATTAAAATTATGTATATATAAAAATGTTTGAAACTAGTGTAATTCACGGAAGTAAGCAGGTATACATACACCACAAATCGTTATTTTAAATGCCGACGAATCTATTTCTATCTATAAATCCTCACATTTATTCTCGTGACCAACGAGGCAAGTAGATTTTAGCCTGTAAGAGACAGCTATTAATATACCACTACCTTGCTATGAACTATCAAATCTAGAGCTTTAGCGAACACGTCTGGAAATATTATAACGAATATCGAGAATGCATTTCTTAACCAAGTTTCAGTCAATATAAAAATTTCATAATCACCGCAGAGAGTATTGCAAAAAAAGATCATAATGTGTTTTGGTTTTGATTACGGGACATTCTGGTAATATGCACATATAACGTAAGAAGTCTGAGAGGACGCATAATTAGTAAGGACAAATTTGTCTGTTGTCTATAAAAACGTAACAGTATAGTAACGGCGGTGTAATAAGATTCACTACCCCATTTCGTCCTGACGTCATAAGAGACGACAGAGCGAAACTGAAGCAGGAGACGAACAACGGCGTCTTCTAGATAACAGTTCAAAATTATAAAAACTGTGGTAGCCAAATTCGCCTGCCAAGCGTGGCGACTATGGCAAAATTTTCCTTATGAAGCAATCTGTGGAGCAGGACTAATGGATAATGGAGGAGGACTAATCGGTAATGGAAAATGGAGGAGGATAAATGGATAGTGATAAAACATACTAATTATCTTATCTTTGAAGTCATTATGAATTTTGAAGAGTTGTTTTAATAAAAAGCTATTGTTGTAATGAAACTAACTGTCGCATCTGATGAGATATTTCCTGAAGGAGTTCGTCCCTATATGGGATATATAAAGTAATATGAAAGCAATATAGTTTATGATAGATAAGCATTTTTATTATAATAAAATAAAAATAAAGATTTATTCTTATTATTATTATATCGTTATAAGTTAGCTAGTTGACATTGAGATAAAGTTTTTTGTTACACAGTGTAATTTAATTGCGAAGTTGGTTTTTAATAAAAGTTTGTCAGTTTCTAGAGTATTAAATTAATACACATAACAATGCGTCAGTGGTTTGCTATTCAAATTTTTTTTGCACTTTTTTCTGAGGTTTGGTTTATTTATTTTTAATCTTATTAATATAAAATATAGCTAATAATGCAGAAAGATACAACAACCTTTACATTTTCCGAACAAATTAACTTCCCCGCTATGAAATATGTCAAATATTATACCTCAATTTCTAGTGGCGCCGCCCTGGTGGCAAAAAAAGTCGTGCCCTCATTGGCATTCCTTGCGACGTGCAAATTTAAACTTTAAATATTTTTAACTGTTTGTAAATTTTTGTGTATTAACGGCCTGTGCCAAAATAAAGTCTTCCTTTTTATTTATTGTTCATCAGTTGCCACTTTAGGCTATTGAGCCGCTGGGCTATGTTAGTTACTCATATTCTTTCACAAAGAAACTACAAACAAAGCCCTGCCCATAGCTCAATTTATTTTAATAGAAAATTACTTAAAATTTGATTAGGTACACATCAAACAAACACTGTTAATATAATTTTGTTCTAAATTATGATAAATTTCAACGTAATGATTTTCTGTAGGCTTATATTTTTGCGCATTTTATTATCAGGTACTCTATCAAATTGATTCTCAAATACTTTTAAGGCCAAGAACATGTTATGCTTAACATAGAACACTACCCTAAGTGGTATTAGTTTACAAATGTTGTAGGAAAATAATAAATTGAACTTACTACCGACTTCCTACACATGAAGGCCGAAATTTTATATTGCTTACACAATTTATTAGTCTACTAGCTGTTACCCGCGACTTCGCCCGCGTGGAGTTAATTTTCGCGGAACCCTAAAATAAAAGCCGCCCAAGTTATTCTTTATAACATCAGTTATCTGCCAGTGTGTATAAATATTGGCAAATATTGACATTAGTATTTATACGATACTAACGTCACTTAATTGTTTTGCCTTCCCGGCACCCCTCCACTAACACTTAAACTTTATGATATGGTATTAAAGTTCAAATTGACTTTTAAGTACGAATCTTTTGTATGGGAATATATAAAAGTGTTGTTTTTAGACTTTTTCAGGCAATTTTTTAAATTTTTCTCTCCGTAAGAACCATCTTCGTAGTTCAAGGAATATTATAAAAAAAGAATTGGCGAAATCGGTTCAGCTGCTCTCGAGATTTGCGCTTAGCAACACATTTAGCGATTCATTTTTATATTATAGATATCTCTTTTTTTTTTAGAACATCAATTAAAATTTAAAATTATAATGTTACAAAATTCATACAACTCTTTCAAATAAATTGACAAAATTTACAACAATATATTTATACTGTCAATTACAAGCAAATGTGAAAAAGCAAAGCAAAAATGATAAGCTTGTGAAAACTGTCCATGCGGTCGGAGATAAGATAACACAAAAACTCTCCGATCACACTCTTAATCTCATGGCTGTTAGACGGGAAATGAAGCTGCAGTATTCAACAGATTTGACAGCATACAGGCAACTGAACAAACAGATCTCCAAATGCATGCGGCGGGACTTATGCAACTTCAATACAGTTTGTATTGAAGAAGCGATCGAGCGGAACCAAGGCTCCCTTTGCCAGAGATCTGTCTGCCAGAAAGAGCCAATTATCAAAGCTGAATACCGAGTGTGGCAGCATCGTTTCCGGGACACCTGAGATTTTGAGTGAGATTGAAAGGTTCTATGGGCAGCTGTACACGTCATCGTTGGAGCCACACGCAAGTGTGAGAATCGATCCAAGAACGAGTCTTATCCGACACTATTCCGAACATATTCCGGACGTCAGTCTGAGCGAGATTAGAATGGCTCTCCAGCACCTTAAAAACGGCAAGAATTACAGTGGAGCTTCTGAAAGCGGGTGGAAAACCGGTACTTGAAGTCCTTCAGAAGCTCTTTAATTCCGTCCTCCATGGTGGCACTACTGCGGAGGCGTAGAGCAGAAGTGCGGTGGTCTTGTTCTTCAAGAAAGGCGACAACGCTCTCTTGAAGAACTACAGACCGATTTCTCTTCTGAGCCGCGTCTACGTGCTGTTTTCGAGAGTCATTACGAATTGTCTCGCACGTAGACTCGACGACTTCCAGCCTCCTGAACAAGCCGGTTTCCGAAAAGGCTTTAGTACCATGGACCACATACATACCCTTCATCAAATTGTACAGAAGACCGAGAAGTACAATTTGCCAATATGTCTTGCGTATGTAGACTAAGAGAAAGCCTTTGATTCCGTCGAAATTTGGGCGGTGCTACAGTCCCTGCAGCGGTGCCAAGTTGACTATCGGTATATCGAAGTGCTGAAGTGTTTGTACAGTAGGGCTACGATGGCTATCCGAGTGCAGAATCAGAGTACGAAACCTATCCAACGGCAGCGAGGTGTAAGACACGGTGACGTTATATCCCCGAAACTCTTCACCGCTGCATTGGAAGACGTTTTCAAGCTACTGGACTGGAAAGAATACGGTCATAAGATAAAAAGGACAAAACAAAAAACATGTTTAACGTCCATGTCACACCTATGCCGATAGTTGTTGGGAGCACTAAGCTCGAAGTTGTTGACGAGTATGTTTACCTGGGACAAATAGTCCGACTAGGTAAGTCCAACTTCGGACTTACCTAGTCGGACTCCGGAGGGACCAGTCGCCTTGGATATAGGTAAGTAAGCTCCGTCTAATATCCTCCCGGTCGACTGGCCGTAGTATAGAATGCTCCCCCATATAGTTTAGTGTAATTAGAGAAATTCCACGTGGCCACATTGAGGCCCGACCTACGTCTGCTCGGGAAGTCTTCTGCTCATGGGCCCCAGAGGATTTGACCCTTTAAGGGAGCAGCCGTAGGCCGTAACAGGTCCAGATACCGTGTTCCTAACACACCGCACCGTTCATAGTGATGCCAGTCTTTGATTAATGTGTGCGTGAGTACCACGTGACGCGCATATCTTACGTACCATGGCTGCATTAATGTGCGTGACTTCGGTAATAACAGGGCGAACCGATTACCCAAAAAATGTGGGAG